GCTTTGCTTAGTTTAGCTTGTTCTAAGTAGGTGCCTTAGACCACTGAGCCATCTCACCAGCCCCTCAGGCCGGTTCTTATGCCGCTGAGCTAGCTCCCTAGCCCTAAGTTGTACCTATGTTAACTTTTTTTTTTTTTTTTTGCGGAACCGGGGATTGAACTCAGGCCCTTGCGCTTGCCAGGCAAACGCTTATTCCACTGAGCCATCTCCCCAACCCCCTATGTTAACATTTAAGATCTTTGACCTATCTTGATTTTAGTTTGGTGCATGGTGACAGACAAGAGCCTAGACTTAATCTTCAGCATGTGGCTGTCCAGTTTTCTCAGCACCCATGATTAATTGATTGATTGATTGATTGATGGCCCTATAAAAATCAATCAATCACTACACAGCTCAGACACAGTGAGCCTCCTGTTTCAGCCTTCCCAGTGCTGGGATTTCAGGTGTGCACCACCATGCCCAGTTTCAGGGCTGGCAGGGCATGTGTAGCAAGGATCAAACCTGGGTCCTTGTGTTTGCCAGGCAGGCACTTAGACCACCGAGCCATCTCCCCAGCCCCTCTCAGCACCCATTATTAAAGAGACTATCCCCTCCCGTGTGTTTCTGGCTCTGTTGTCAGTGATCAAGTCACTGAGGGTCTGGGGTCGTCCCTGCCTCTCCCGGCAGTCCAATACCTATTTCCAGGCCAGTGCCACGCTGTTTTCGTCACTGTAGCTTTGTGGTATAACTTGAAGTCTGGGATTGCTTTTGCTCCTCCAGGATTCTTCTGGGTCCAGATGGCTTTTAGGTTTGTTTGTTCAGTGAGGGGCGCTGCTGGGGTTGATTGGGGTTCCATTCTGTCTCTGTCCCACTTTCAGCAGCATGCCCATGTCGATTCCTGGGTTCTGCCTATCCGGGAATGCAGACCCTTGCGTCTGCTGATCTCCTGCCCCTTCTCCAGAGCACTGTGGTTTTCTCCGTGGAGAGCTTTCTTCTCCTTGGCCATCCCCGGCCCCGGTGCCCCCCATTCTACTTCCCGTCTCTGAGGGTGCTGACTCTGGAAGCCTCGGGGTTAGTTCATCTCATGGTGCCAGGTCACTGGGGTCCCTCCTCCAGGTCGGGGCTGACTCTCATTCCACCGCGTGGATGGCCCCACTGTGTGCACCCAGGGTCTGTGAGATTCTTCTGCCTCCCTGTCCTTGTGAATCTGTCAAGAGCTGGGGTGAGTGTGGGTGTGCAGGTCTCTGAGATTCTGATGACCTTGGTGTGGGGAGTGGGCACTGCTGCAGTGTCCGTTCCTTGTCCAGGAGACTGGGGACAGAAGACAGGGCTCTGGGCAGGGTGTCCTCAAAAGGTGCCCCTGCCTGGTACGGGAAGGGGGTGCAGGAGGCTGCCCAGGACTGCTGGCTGCGAAGCTACAGTCTGCCCCGGCCACAGCACGGCACCTGGCAGGATGGTCCTGTGCTGATGTCAGTTTCTTCTGTCCCCCTGCCAGATGCCTGGGCCATATGACCCTTGTCCTGATCCAGAGACCACAAGCTCACCGAAGTCCTCCAGCGCTTCTCTGTTCTACATGGTCTCAGCTCTTCTGGGTCCTTTGCAGCAGGGTCACCTACTCTCTGGTGTCCCTGGCGCATGTCCTGCCGGGGTGCAGAGCGGCATTGCTCTGGGTCTGCAGAGTCCGTGGCAGATTTGCCACCTCGTGAGAGCCACAGCCTCTCACCATGGAGACCAGGTCTGTGCTGCCTCCCTCCGCTGGCCTGCACTCAGCAGCGTCTGGGTCTGGCTCTGGTTTTGTCAGCTGTTTCTGATCTTTTGGGAGATGGTTCGTTCCCTCGTTTTTGGTTGCGCTCTGCCACTGTATAGAAACAACTGATCTTGAAAATCGATTTTGTGTTTCTGAGAGCGCCATTCTCACCCATGCTGCTGGCTTTGTTTTGGATCTGTGTGGTTTTCCACGTAGCTGGTCATGCTGCTTTGAGAGACAGCAGCTCGCTCTCTCCTTCCATTTCTTTTCTTTTTTTTTT